CCTACATGGTCCAAAGCTTTTTATCCTTCAAGAAAATGGAGCTGAACCTGAATCTTCTTGCTGGGCACTGAGCAGGGCCAGAGGGGATGTGGTGGGACCTCTCTGCCTCCCTGGTTCGTTGGTTGGTGGGGAGCAGGGGATTCCCAAGCCCAAGGAGCAAATGCTCTCTGTTGCTGGAAAAAGCAATGGGGAATGAGAGCCCCACAGAGATCAGAAATCAGGTCTCCCTCCCCAAATTTTCCAGCACCAGGGAAGCATGGTTGCTCTCTGTGTATGACATTTAGCTGAGAAGGGCCACCCAGCTGGAAGAAACCACCGTGATAGGGAGGGTGAAGGTATTGATAACACCTGTGGGATTGATCTTGACGGGGACCTGAGAAGGTGTGCACTAGAGCTCACTGTAACCTCTTCCATAAGCTATGCTTTGATCAGAAACCTGGCTGGCATTCTACCAAGCTGGGGAGTAAATCTGGAATAAAACACAAAGACAAGAGCTATGAAAGCCCCTGGAGCTGCCCTGGCTGGGGTTCGCATCCTGCCTCCATGGGGAATGCTGTGTTGTTTCTTGAAATTGAGGATGTTTTTATGGGGCTGTTGGAAAGTTTATTTGTTCAAACTGCACTGGCTTTGCTCTGCCCAAGGGCATCTCATCTGAGGTGGTGGAAATGCCCTTTCTGATGGTCAGTAGTAAGTGGCTAAAGAGGCTACACCCCCTGGAGAGGTCCTAGTTCAGTCATTTTCTCCCCTGGCAGGTCTTCCACGACCTTGTCCTGCTCAAACCTGGCCCCCTTTTTGTCTTGCAGGACGTGGGCTCTCTCATGCCTTGTCTCACTCTTCTTCCCTCCTAAAACCTCATTCTGAAGGATGGCAGCTGCCTCATTCCGCTATGGCCTGACCATCACCGGGGCTGTGCTGCTGGTGACGGGGACGCTGTGCTTTGCCTGGTGGAGTGACGGTGAGGTCGGCTCATCGGCCGGCGGCAGCGGGACTCGCCTCCTGCCTCCCCGGGAAGCCGAGGCAGTTCCCAGCTCCTCCTCCTCCAGCGCCCTGCTCCGCTCCGTCAGCTTCTTCTGCTGCGGTATCGGTGGCATCCTCCTCCTCTTCGGCCTCCTCTGGTCCGTGAAAGCCAACACCAGGGTGGTCTCCCGTCGCTACCAGTACCATTTCCCCAGGGACCTTCAGTACTTCACAGCGGAGCCTCTGGAGAAGTGGAACTGCAGGTGGGTGCCACGTCCCTGTGCAGTGCTTGAGTGGGCAGAAGTGGAGGGTGGATTTGGCTGTCCCATGTGTCTGAGCCTGCTCCCAGACTGGCTTGCTGGTGAGCTTACAGGAGCAACAATGCATCCACACCGCCAGCCACTGCTCAGACCCCGCTCTGTGCTCTCCTCCTGCTCCTGAGCAGATGTTCTTGCTCATTAGTGTCAACCTGAGCCCCCACACTCCCCTTTCTGCCAGCTCCTGTCTGCCCACGCTGGCTGCACCTGTGGCCAGCTTGGCTGCATCCAGCTCTCCTTGCCCTGCAGGGCCATCACAGAGGGAGGCAACATCTCCTTAGCAGAGCCACTGGGCAGAAGACTCCATTGGTTTTCTGGCAGAAGGTTTGAATTTGGGGGTGGGGAGGTCACCCAGACCTCCAGCTGTTGAATTGTGCCCTAGTCTCTCAGATCTGCAGTGCTCTATAAAGATGAGGGTGTTTATGCCATCTTTAATGGAAGCCAAATCTATGTTAAAAGGGACTTAAAAGAAAAAAAATAAGGAAAATAATCCTTGGAATGTCATCAAGGGTGTTGTTAGAGGGTCCTTCTACAAAGCCTGTTTTGGGGTTTAGAAAGGCCCCTCACCCTGAACACCACTGCTGCTTTTTGGGACCAGACTCTTCCAGTGTGAAGAGTCTTGATTTAAAAGTTTTTTGCTCAAAAGGTTTTTTTTCTCCAGAGACTGCAGTAGAAACGGAGCCAGACGGCCCTTCCCAGTGCTGTTTTATGGGGGTCACAGCAAAGATCTTGGCTCCAGCATAAATCGGGCTCTGGGGAAAAGCAGCACTAAAAGAAACTCTTAAGAACATTAAACCATAAAATTTCACTTGGAGTGGGAAGCACGTTCCTGGTTCTCCTGGGGTTTCAGTGCCCCTCTGAGTATCTGTGAGATCGTGATCCAGTCTGGGTACTCTGGGGAGAGGTTCCACCTCCTGTGGAGAGCTTTGCTGTGCCCCTATAGGGAATGTCCCTTTCCCTGAGCTCCCAGCTCGCCTGCTGGATGGGAGACAGTGCCCTGGCACTGTTGGTGCTGTGACAGCTCTCCAGCCCCAGCAAAGCATGCTGTGCTGGGATAAATCCCCCTCTCTGCATTTCCAAGGCAACATCCCCATGCAAACTGAGGCTGTTTGGCAAGACTGCCAGCTCAGAAGCCCAGGGTGGTCTGCCTGGGACAGGGAGCCATGAAGAGTTCAGGATGGAGGGATCCCTGTGGAACACTGCAGCTTTTCCTTTGGACCAGCTGTGCTCTGTGATTCCCACCACCTCCCCAGCGCACTGTGCTGGGTTTCATCTGCAATGATGAGTTGCTTTCACAGCCTCCCTGACTTTGGGCTGCACAGTTCCATAGGGTGCCAAGCAGGACCATGCACAGGGCGAGGGTTGTCCAAAGGTTTTCCCTGTACACAAACTGTGTTTGCTCATCAAAGGACTGCTGGAAGTGACACCAGGCTTGGATGGTGCATGGCAGAGTGTGGTGTGACTGTATTGAACTGGAATGGCTGCCCCTTGCCCAGATGCTTGTACCAAACTGCTCCCTTAGCTGCTGGCAGCCTCTGTGACTCAGGGGTGAATTTGGGATTGGGCAGGTGATGAGGATGCTCCTCTGCCTGTGGGATTTTGTCGCAAGATCTGATGGATGGTGCCCTTCCTCCTGCATGGCTCCCCATTTTGGAGCCCTTGATCCTGGGCATGCAAAACCTGCCAATGTGCATATATGTTCATCACGCTTAGAAGGGGTTGAAGGGGTGTTTGGATGCTGCAACTGCTGGGCACTAGGATGCTCTGGTTGATGGGCACTGGAATGTTCTGGTTGGCGGGTGCTGGGATGGTCCAGTTGATGGGACACTGGGATGGCTCTGGTTGACAGGAGACAGGGATACTCCAATTGACAAAGTGCTAGGGTGGTCCAGTTATTGGGTGCTGGGATGCTCTGGATGATGGCTGCTGGGATGCTCAGGTTGAGTGCTGGGATGCTCCTGTTGGATGCTGGGATGCTCTGGATGATGTGTGTGTGCTGCTGGGTTTCTTCTTTCCATGCAGCAACTGGGATGCCAGTGCCATCCCCACCTACGAAGAAGCCCTGACCTGCAGACCCGCCCACGGTGCCCTGGCCTATGTCCAGCCCCCGGGGAGGAAGGAGGAGCTCACGCCGCCCCTGTACCGCTACCTGGAGGAGGATGAGAGCTGGCAGGGCGGCCGCCGGCGCAGCTCCTCTGACAGCGCCTTGTTCCGCCCCAGCCCATCCTGGCTGGAGACCCTTCACCCCGAGGAGCCGCAGGCAACACCTCCCCCCAGCTATGAAAACATCAGTGTCCGAGGGGTCTGAGCTGGGGTCAGCACGGGCCATGAATCTGTGGGTGGCTACCCAGTCCCTCAGTTTTAAACTGAGCCCCTTCCTTTGTGGGGAGGAGAGGAGGGTGGGAGAGGAGGGGAAAGGGCCAGCTGGGCTTTCTGAGCTATCAGTCCAGGGCTATTGGGATTGTGAGTCCTGTGGGTGATGAGTTCGAAGCATTGGGAGTAACTGGCATGTTTGAAAGCCTTTGTATTTTTAATAAAACCACTGTTGGTTGCAGATGCTTTGTGTTCCCTGCTCTGACCCACCCTAGGGAGCTCCTGTCAGGCAGGGGGCTGCCCACTCAATAATAAAAACTGCAGCAGAGAACGAGGAGCCTGGCCAGAGAAAACCCAGCTCTGTGCCGCCCCATTCGCTCCTCTGCCTTTGCAGTGTCCCTTCCAGCCCTACCTCCATCCCTTCCACCTTGCTTCCCAATGTACTGACTTCCCACGCCTCACTTCATGTAGTGTAGAGATGCTCAGTGGCCGTGTGTGCGGTCAGTGCATCCAAGTGCACTTGGCATTTCAGGCAGCATCCTATAAGGAGCCATCCTGAGCACACAGCCCCCTCCCTGCACACCATGGCTGGGTTTGCAGCCTTGCCCAGAGGAAAGGCCAGCGGCTGTGGGGGCCGCTGCCGGTTCCTCCATCCCACCAAAACAACAGGCTGCCCTGGGCTCCCTGCGGACCTGCAGAGCTGCAGAGTGGCTTTGGAGCCATAGCCACAGATAACATATTGTTTATAGTATATTATTTGTATGTGCTCCCACATGTGCCGAAAAGTAAGGGAATAAAATGAAGGCTAATTAAAGCCACCAACACTGTCTGGCTGTTGGATATATTTTGGGAAAGGGACACCTTTTAACACGCCATCTCCAGCTTAAGCGAACACAGGGCACTGGGGTATTCTGTCCTCACTGCCCCTGGAGGGACCAACTCCACTCCATTATTCCCGGGCTTTAGCACCCCCTTTACAGCCCACCTGCTGCCCCATGAAGCAGCCTTAGCACTCACCTGGAGAAAGACAAGGGATGTTCCAAACCCATGGGCCTCCAGAAAGATCCTGGAGCACTCCCTACTTCCCTGTTGCAGCCCCGCAGCCCTTGAGAACGTGCTGCATCCTGATATGTCCCTTATTTGGGGCTCTGCCAGCTCCAGTTTATGGCCAAGTCCAGCTTCAGTGCCCAGGGCTGGGAAAATCCCAACAGGATCAGCCACTCTCCAGGTTCCTGTGTCTGCTGCCATTGGCCCCCTCACGCTCCCTGTCCCTTCCCCAGGCATGGAGTGCCCTCAGGGAAGGTTACGCAGACACGTGCTGGGGCGGCTTCACTGGAGTGTGAACTGCGGGTCAGTGTTTGCATTCATTACAAACCCATTAAAAACTGGCTGGCTCAGCCCTGGGCAGGACCAAGCTCAGCATGCAGCTGATCCTCAGCTCCTGGCAGCCTCTGGAAAGAGAAACCACTCCTTGCCGCAGGTGTGCTCAGCGGGCAGCAGTGGCAGGTAAACGGGCTCCCTGGCATCTCTCCTTCCTGCCTCTCCCACCCAGAGCCCATGGCAGAGGAGAAGACCTTCCGTTACGGGTTCATCATCTTGGGTTTCTTCCTGGTGATGACGGGAATTTTCATCATGAGTGTGGAAAAGCCCCACATCTACATCACCTTCTGCGTCCTGGGTGTGCTGCTCATAGCCGTGGGCATCACCTGGAGCATGTGCCAGTGCTACCCAAAGGTAGGATCCATCCTACTGCTGAGTGCTTTGTGGGGCTTGGGGGCTCAGCTGGGTTTGGGGGGATTCAGCTGCTGTGGATGTGTAGCCTTGGGCTGCATCTCAACTTCCTCATCTATGGGGTGAGGTAACAGCAGATACCAGGGAAAGCCAGCTGGAATAATCTGGAAAAGGAATTGTTGGTTTGGGGTGCTCATGGGCTGCTGATGACTGCAGGATGTAGCCCCTTGTTTCTTTCCCCCCTGTACTCCTTCACCCTTCCAACCCTGCAGCCTGGTGCTTTGCTTCCAAGCAGGCAGCAGGGAATAATCCCAAGGAAATAAACTTGTGTTCATCTCTCCCATGCAAACCCTCCCCAAACTAGACCCTTCATTGGGGTCTGGGGCTTGGCAGGCTCCCAGGACTTCCAAGAAAGGACTGTCAAGGCCATGGATGTCAGAGGGTCTCAGCCTCCCAGAACTCAGCCCTCCCCTGCCAGTCTCCTTGGCAGAGGGCACTGCCAGCTTGGAGGGCAGCCATGCGTCCCTGCCCTGGCAAACGGGTCTGGCAGAAAAGGGTTTTTTCAAAGGAGAGGGCAACTGTGGCACTGATCTGGGCAGTGCTGGATGGCCTGTCAACAACTTGGCTGCCCTCCAAAATGTGGCATGGTGACCTCAGGACCTGGGACCAGCTGGGACCTCTGAAACAGGCTGTTTCCTTGGACTGGGGTGAAGCTGACCCCAGTTTCCCCCAAAGCCGAGCTCAGTCCCAGCAAGGAGGGTGGCTTTGCTACTGTGCTTGGGGCTCAAGAATAGGGCACCCTCAGTGTTGTCCCTGACCATTGACCCCCCCTGTGGGCCCTGGGACCTGCTCTGGGCTTGGGGGCATGTGTGACTCCATGGGGGAAAAGGGTTGTGCTGGATTCATTTATCCATTATTGATTTCGCCAAAAAAACCCCCATTTCCAATCAAGACATCCAAATGTGGTGGGAAAAGACCCTAAACCCAGCTGAAGGGACACTCTGGACCTTTTACCACTAAGGAGGGTCGAGTGTGCCCAGCACAGTCCCTGGGCTCTTTCTTCCTTTTCCCCCCAGATAACATTCATTCCTGTGGACCCTGAGGCTGAGCGGTTCCTGGACTACAAACCCACAGTGCTGCCACAGAAGGACATCTGGTGGGTCCCAAAATCTGTACACAGAATTGTGTGTGTGCCCTGGGGACAAGGGCACTTTTTGAGACTTGGGACAACTGCACCGACTGCAGCACAAAATGCCAAGTGGGAGCCAGGGAGGGGAAAGCAAGGGATGTCTGAGCCACCCCAGGGCTGGAGCCTGAGTGATGCTGGGGGATGCAAAGCATCCAGCTGTGTTCCTGAGGGTATCATCTTCAAGGACCCATTGGCTCTGCTGCTGGTGTGGGCAGTAATGTGGCCTTGATAGCCTCTAAAGCCACTCCCTCAACTGATGGAGCCCTGCATGCAAATGCCCGAGGATCTTCCAGCTCCATGGGGTCCTGGTTCTGCTCAGCATCCTGTCATTCCTTTGCCCACAGCTTGATTGCTCCCTGCCCCAACCAAGAAGCCACCAGCACCTATGAGAAGAGCCTGCCATCCTATGAGCAGATCCAGAAGCAGGCAGTGGGCTCAACCCCGCTGCCACCTGCGGCACAGCCCAGATCCCGTAGTTGCTCCCAGTCAGCTGTGCAGGCCAAAGCAGAGGTCCACCGGGAGCTGGGGGGTGCTGGAGACCCCCCACAAGACCTGGCACCTCACCTGGAAACAGCAGCAGGCAGCTGGTATGTGATGCTTTTGGGGTCAGGGTGGCACTGGTGGGATGCAGGGCGAAAATGGGAGGGAATCAGACCAGGTCCTTCAAGGGGAAGGAGAAAAGGGTCTTTGCTGCTTACACAGCACTGAACACCCAGCCCCTGTGGAGCCTGGGCGGTGTCTCAACCCACAGGGAGTTTCTATACCAAACTATTTCCCAGGTGTCCCTATAAAGGCAGGCATGAAGAGGCTGGGATAGGGCCCTCCCAGGGTGCTCCAGTCACCCAGCAAAAGGGAACAGGTGATGCTGGGATGCCGGCTGAGCAATGCTCCAGCAGCCACCAGCTCCAAGGGAAACCCCAGCTATGTTTGGTGTAACTTCCACACCGTCCATCAGCCCTCCCTGTCCCCACAGCCCTCCTCGTTCAGCCCCGGGGGATGCGCCGCTGGCATCCCTCCTAGAGGAGATGGACACGCCATCGCTGGAGGGCTCAGTGCCAGGCACCCCCACACCACAGAGCCGGACCCTGCCACCCTCTGGTCACTCTGGCTGCACCCTGACCAGCTCCCCGGTGAGGGGACAGCGCTCCAGATCCCCCCGCAAAGGCGCTGGGGAGCAGGATGACCTTTATTATGGGCTCCAAGAGGAGCCGGATGCTCTGCTCAAGGACAGCGACTGCCTTTTTGAGCCTGAAAACTGATTTCACAGAGAAAATGACCACTTGGCACAGACTTCGCATGGAGTGGATGCAAACGTCACAGCCTGGAGGGAAGGGGATGCCCCTGAAAGTGCAGTGCCTGCAGCACAGAAGGACCTCCAGGCTTCTGCACCCCTTGGACATACCCAGGCTTTCTGGAAGCTTTCATTCCCCCAAAACTCAAATGGGGGACTGTTGCCTCCTGAATTCCAGAGCATATGGGACAAGGCCCCCCTCTCTGGAGCCCTTTGGATGGGCACAGAGAAGCTGGGCTGGGCAGGATCTGGGAAAAATACTGTGCTTGGGAAGGTAAAGGATTAGTTCTGCTGCTTGGAACAGGATCACATTTAGGTAGGTAAAGATGGGCTCATCCCATGCGGGCTTTACAAGACAGAGATGTTCTCAAAGTCATTTTCCCACTTATCCAAGCTCCCCTGAAACTAAAATTAGATCCTGAGACTCCTGCAGCAGTTGGGAAAGGGGTGATGGAGGTGACAGACTGTGCTGTCCTTCATCTTTGGCACAAGGACCAGCTTCCAGTGCCGTGGAGAGCAGAGGGAGGAGGACTCAGCTGAGCCAAAACTCTGGTGATGGCACTTGAGATGGTGACTTTGGGCATCTCCACTGAGTCAGTGTCAGTGGGTGGGTTTGCACACTGGCACCCACTGTCCCCAAACTCTCTCTTAATAATAAGTATTTGTTTCCAACTATGTTGATGGATCTAAGCCTGGTTTATCACTATGACAGAGGTGACACAGCAGCTCCCCACAGACTGCTTGTACCATGAAGAGATGGCAGCGCTGATGGGAGCCGTGACCTCCTCCTGTCCTTTGTCTGCTTGGGACCGTGGGGATCTGTGTGGCTGAGCCTCCACAGGGCAGCTGGGTTTGGGTCAAACCACCAGCAGATCCAACAGTGTGGGGATTCTGAGGGTCCCTTGCCCTGTTTTGGGAAAGTTGGGCTGGATGCTGCCTGTGCGTGGCACGGCCCGAGGAGGTTTGGGAGCACATGTCTGCAAATTTTGTAGTATCACAGAACGGTTTGGGTTGGAAGCTCAAAAAGCTAGTTCCAATCACCCAAGCCCAAAAATGTGGGGAAAGCTGTCCTCCATCACCCAAGGAGCATGAAGCATGAGAGCCCTGGAAGGATGCTCCCTGTGCTACCCTGCTGATCAGGGAGTTCTTTGCTGGTACAGTCCAGGGTGTTTAGGAAGCGGCTCTACCTGGGGCTTCAGGCCCCTGTGACACCCCTCCTGGTGTTGCTGCACCCCTCACTCACCTTGGCATCACCAAAGCAGCAAGGGAGAAGGGCACAGAGCACCTACGCACTCAGGGTATTTACAGGCAACAGGAGGGTGGGGAACGAGGCTCCAGTGTTGGCTAAACATTGCCACAGGAGTGAGAGCAGCTGTCTGGGAGGAAGCAATAACAAATTGGTTACACATACTCCCGCCTGTTCTTCCTGGTGGAGGGGGTGTGTGTCAGCTGCAGGGCTGCTGTTTGAATGAGGCCATGTCTCACCGAGTTTCAGAGGGTGTCTGGGGCAGGATGTCACTCTGTCACTGGTTCCTGTGGAGCATGGGAGCCTGGTAGAGACCTGAAAGCTTTTGCCTCTAAAAGCATAGAATAGTTTGGGTTGGGAGGAACCTTTAAAGACCATCTAGTCCAGCGGGGCAGGGACACCTTCCACTAGACCAGTTAGTCCAAGCCCCACCCAACCTGGCCTTGAATGTTTCCAGGGATGAGGCAGCCACAGCTTCTCTGGGAAACCTGTGTCAGTGCCTCACCACCTTCACAGTAAAGAATTTCTCCCTAATATCAAATCTAAACCTGCCCTCTTTCAGCTTGAAGCCATTCCCCCTTGTCCTATCACTACACACCCTTGTCAGAAACGTCTCTCTGGCTCTCCTGTACCCCCTCTGCTGGAAAGGGCTCTAAGGTCTTCCTGGAGCCTTCTCCAGGCTGAAGATTCCCAGCCCTCTCAGCTTTTCCTCACAGGAAAGGTGTTCTATCTCTTGTCCTGGCACTCACTACAGCTTTTGGCAAAAGAAAGTTACTTTCCCAAAGCCTTTCTTCCGGTAGGGGAAGGGGAGGGGGCTGACACGGGGCTTGGACCCTCCCTCCCACGGGACCCTTTGGGCAGCTAAATGAGTTCCCCCATCCCTGGCGCAGCATCCTTGAGCCGAAGGACTCGGCTCCTGCTACGGCCGAGGTTAAACATTGTGGGAATCGGGACATTCCTGCATGGCATTAAGCGAGCGGCCCGGCTGCTGGAGGTTGGGGGTGGGTGGAATCACCATCCGCTAGCCGCTCACGCGTGTCACCCACCAGCAGGGACCCCGCGGCGGGGAGTCGATGGAGGAGAGGAAGGTGCTGGCGCTGCTGCCCACGCAGCCACGTGGGGCGGGGTGGTGCCCGTGTGCTTCAGGGCCCGCGGGGGGCGGTGACATCAGCGCACCAGTGGTGTAGTGGTATCATGCAAGATTCCCATTCTTGCGACCCGGGTTCGATTCCCGGCTGGTGCAAATCACGGTTTGGGCATGCCGAAGTGATGGCACCTCCACAGAATAATTGCAGGTCTCTCTGACTTGCGTTCAAAAACGTGGGGACAGTGCAGTGTCTTTTTTCTGCCAACGGGGTGCGAGGGAGCCCGGCCCAGCATCACTCAGCCTCTACCTGCACCACCTCAAGCCAACGGCTCCCCAGCAATGGAGTGCAACAAGGATTTACAGGTCCTTCCCCCTTGCTGGAGTCCTCTCTGATGCCTCCTCTGCTCTCTCTCCCCCTCCCCCCGAATAGGAGCCTCCCCTCTTTACATGGACACAGCCGGTGGCCCTGCTGCTCTCAGTAGCAGGAGGAATTGCTGCTGGATGCACCCCAGGGTGCCAGGACTGAATCAGATCTCTTCTCTACAAGGTGCAAGTTTTGGGCTATTTCTGAATATTTTTTTCAATTAAATAAATAATCTTTCTACAGATATCTACTCCTGGAGCGAGCTCCAGAGCTAGGTACCTCTCACACTCCCAGTCCAGTTCTGGGGTTGGATGTTCATGCTGAGCTCTCCCTGGGTTTCTCAGCACATTGGGGTGTGCATGGGGCAGGGAGGGCCTTTGCCACCTCCTACTGTTTGGGCTCCTTCCATCCTTCCCTGGGACACAGCTTGTCCCCTGTGCAAAAAGGAAGGGAGCGACTGCAGTGAGAAGGAGACTGTCCCCCTTGAGATGGAGTGCCCCGGTTCTCAGTTGCCCTGAAAGTGTCCTGAGGCACCAGTGGTGTATTGTGGGACTTAGCGACACTGATGAAGCAGAGCCAAAAACTAGGAGTGAGACTTCTCCCCACAATCAGTGTCCTGGACACAGATTCTTCCAGTGTAATCTTGCTGTGGGAGAAAGTGGGTGACAAGTGGGGTTTAGTCTCCCCCCCAGTTACCCAAACCATGGTGAAGGTACCCACCTGAGGTCTCGGTAAGAAATCATATAAACTGTACACATCCATATGAAACATTACATCCATATAAAACATGTACATTCATATAAACATGCAAGTCTGAGAAGCTTATAAATAACCAATCAAAAATAAATATATCCCTATTTTCCGGTCACGGGGGATGTGGGGCAGTGTGGGAGCCTGGCGCTGTGGAAGGGCAGAGGTGGGAAGCAGCCAGGGGAGCCACGGCAAAGCACCGACCGCATCCCGCAAAAAGGATATTTGCGATGTGTGACGACTCTGTAAAAAATGCCCAAACAGGATTAGAGGCTTTCATGGGAATTTATCCCTGGAGTGAAGCAGTAGGAGGCACATTAAAGCGTTCAGCCCTTTCTGAAATCAGGACTTGAGTGGCTGCGCTTTGCTCACCAGAGCCCCCAGCGATGTGCCGGTACTCGGGGTGAGCAGCGTCCCCCCCCGCCCCTTTCCCCGCGCCCCTGCGCAGTGACCCGCGCCCCGCACCCCCTCCCGCGGCCCCTTTAATGGTTAACGAGCTCGGGTGGGCAGCTAGGATCGGCGGCCGTGGCGTGATCGCCGCCCCGCAGAACTGAGCCCCCGCCGCGACGGGCAGAGCCGCGGCCGCCGCTGCGCTCCGGGACCTGCGGGTGCGCTGCGGGACATCGGCTCTGGGTCTCGGCTCCGCGGTGCGCTCCGACCCCACGGCCCCGCTCCGGCCCCTCGGCTCCGCGGGTTCGTTCCGGCCCCTCGGCGGTCGCGCAGCATCTCCCCGCCGACGCCGTCCCCCCGGCGCTGAGGGTCGCCGCGGCCCCCGGCTTTGCCCGTCAGGGCGCGGGATGTCCCCACGGGGACTGGTGCTGGCGCTGGCGCTGGCGCTGGCGGAGGAGCTGGGGCTGGCGCTGGGGGCGGCAGAGGAGGGGGCAGCCGCCCTCGAGGGCGCCCCGCCGGGACCCGCCGCTTTCCATCGCGCCGCCAAGGTGAGGAGGGTGGGGTGCGGGGACAGCCACGCGTGTATCTGTGTGTGTGTCCCAAGCCCCAGCCCGGTGCTCGTGTCCCCGCAGGAGTCGTGGCGGCTGCCCGGGCGCTACGTGGTGGTGTTGCGGGCGGGCAGCAGCGGGGCCGAGGTGCGGGGCACGGCGCGACGTCTGCGGGCCCGGGCGGCTCGGCGGGGACACCTGACCGAGCTGCTGCACGTCTTCCACCTCCTGCCCGCCTTCCTGGTGAGGATGAGCAACGACGTCCTGGACATGGTATGTGGGACAGAGGACAAGGTCGTGGTGCGTGGCAGCAGCAGGGTGGGCACTGGTAGGGGGACGCAGTTCCCACCTCAGGGTGAATAGGAGCTTTGCCGCCACGCTGGGCAATGTGTTTCCTCCCCGCAGGCACTGAAGCTGCCACACGTGAAGTACATCGAGGAGGATGCCTATGTCTTTGCCCAGAGCATTCCCTGGAACCTGGGAAGAATAATGCCTCTACAGCTCACCTCAGGCTCCTACAGCCCTCCCAGTAAGCACTGGGGTGTGAGGGGGTGACCACAGGGGTTTGGGGAAGAGTCACTGGCCCCATTCCCTCTCCTGATCTTGAGGGATGGGGATATCCCTCTGCCCCATGGTGCTGTTGGTCTGGAGCTGCATTTTGAGAGCATCCCAGATGGCCTGGGCTGATTGCAGTGGTGGTTGCCTTTCCCCCTGGCTACACCCCTGGCAGATAAAGGTGAGCTCGTGGAGATTTATCTGCTGGACACCAGTGTGCAGAGCACCCACCGGGAGATCGAGGGCAGGGTGTTTGTGACTGGCTTTGAGAGTGTCCCTGAGGAGGACAGCACCCACCTCCATAGGCAGGTAAGCCCAGAGATGCCACATGCTGCATTCTGGCAAGAGCATCCCCCTCCATCCACCAAACCCTGGCTGGGCTTGTGGGACTTCCCAGGACAAGGGAGAGACTTGGCCTGGGGCAAAATGCTGGGCAGCACATGCAACAGCAGGAGTTGTGGTCCTGGGGATGTCGGGGCCCTCCATGTGGTCTATTTGGATCTGTGGCTGAGGAGGGCAGAGTTCCTTTCTGGGGAAAGCGGTCTGGAGGGGCACAGGTGCGTGTCAGGTGTTGTTGCATGAGATAATTGAGGCGGGATGGAATGGGGAGGACACTGTGGGGTTTGCAAACCTGCTTAGGTGCAATGGGCTGGGGCATGAAACTGGGATGCCCGCTCCAGGCCAGCAAGTGCGACAGCCATGGGACC